ATTTTTAGAAAGTCATCGTTTACAAGTGCTGATATCCCAGTATTTACTCTCATTGTGACGACAGCAGCAAGCGGACGAGATGGAACTTTGTCGATTTCCTGCGAACTAAAGTTTCGCTTCTAAATATTGAGTACCAAAGTCCCTGTTGAATAGGATGACAATACATTGACGATTAAGCAGACTTTATTTATTTCACCTTAGGATAAAATTGTTAATCTTATTAAGTAAGAATGGACCAGTGAAATAGAGTGTCTCCAAACAGTATTTTTGTGTAGTATTGTATTTCTACAGTTCAGCTATATTTTGGGTTATTTATAACAACAAAAGACTGGTATACTCAAAATATTTAATAAGAATTTTAGTCTCGGAAAAAATACATTCATGGTCACAGTACTTTAGAACGAGTCCAAGAGTTGTTTGAAACAGTACAATTTGTTATAAATGAAAGGTTCATTTATATAAATTTACTATATACCATATTGCAGGCTTATTTGTCAGGAACTTAAGAAAACGCAATCGAATGAAATTCTCCGAGAAATATTTGGATAGAGTTTAGGTCAGGGGTGACGAATCTCTACATAACAACGTGATATTTTTCTAAATAAATGTTAAATGCAGACATAAATTTGGCATCAAATACTTTGATTTTTTGGTAGTTTCCGTAGCATGATGACTTCGCTTTCGCTCTTTGTAACCCACTGTGAAGTAAAATATTGTGTTGCCATTTGTTCACCACTCCTGATTTAGTTATTACATGGATTGAATATCGAACTAGAAAAGTCAATAAAAGCTTACTTAGTTTAATATTCGTTTACATTAAGCTTAATTTAATGTTAAAAAAATTTAGTATAATTCTCATATAAATAATGTTTTGAAACTTAACCTTGCGTAGGCGTAACTACGCGTAAACATCTGGTACAATGAAGATTTACTATCAGTTAGAAAGCAATAAATCTAAGATATATTAAGTTAAATTTCAAATTAAGTTTTGACGCAAGGGCCCGTGATTTACTTGATAGTATTACCTAATGTATGTACATAATTTAAACTTGAATGTATTTCGTTAGCTTCATTCAAGTGCTGTTATTGTTTTAAAATAATAAGTTATTTTTTATCTTGATAACAATCACATTATTTAGAAGCTATCTTAGAATTCATTTCTAAATCATTTTTCTTTGTTTTATTTGTTTGAACAAATATGTTAAAACATTGCATATCGAAAGCCTTATTCAAGTACATGTGTACAAAAACTATAGAGAGCAAATACTAGGCATATTTAAATAAAGCTTTAAAAAACTTGAAACCAGCTGCGCGTGTTTCGAACACGAACGGAAGCGTTATCAAAAAGGTTCCTACCGATTTTTTCCCTATCGTCCGCGAATGAAAAAAGTTGAGCGAGTGAGGTCGCGGAAACTCGGCGCATTTGCCGAAAATCTGATCTCGTTATTTTAAGCCTCTTTTATTCTTAACACGGCTGTAGACGAAATATTCATGTATATTTTGACGGCAACGCAATTTTACCGCTAACTTTTCACTTACGCGCTGCGCGAAGTTCAATGTAAGTTTAGATGTTTTTATGAAGTTTTCGTTCAAGTGGGTCACGAAATTCTCCTCAATCTTAATTGATTAAAATATGCTTTTATAAATAATGGGATATCAAAAGTTTGTTGATATTTTTATAAAATATAAAGGTAATTTTGTTTAAAACATAATGTAATGTTTCTAAAATATCGTATAATGTGATATTCTTAACTTCGTGAACTACAATGCCTATTAAGAATCTATATATTTTTCCATTTGGTTTCATTTTTCCTCTTAAAGGTAAGGTTAATTTTATTTGCTACTAGCTGTTGCTCGCGACTTCATCTGCGTGAAATTGAATAAAAAATTAAAACACAGCCTATCTTACTTACTGACATGGTAGCTTTTTAACTGTGCCAGATTTTTTTTAAATCCGCCCAGTATTTTTTGAGTTATTTCAATACAAACAAATCTAAAAATACAAATGTTTCCTCTTTATAACATCGGTAGGTAGGCAGGAAATCATAACGCCATCATCAGAATAATATAATAGAGGAATTAATCTTTATTTGTCTTTACATATCAGAGACTTCATTACATCCACTGTCACGGTTCTCTCTCGGAGATATAGCTTCCAAGTTTAGTTGTGCCCCTTGGGGAGAAATTTCTACAAAACCTTTTTACCGCGCACCGAAGCCTTTAAAGTTACATCTCTGCCGGTTGAAAACTTTATATGTCTCAACAATTCAAAGTGACTGCCACGCTAGCACTTCTCTACTTGTATTTTTTTTATGAACTAAACGCCAATCGTGATAACAATAGGAACAAAATCAGATTTGAACTGGCGAAAACATAATCGATTAAGTTAGGTAAGAAACTGCAGTTGCAGTATCGCACCACTGTTTAGTCTCCTTTTGATTACTATGAGCTTATGAGGTGGGCACACTGGTCGATTTATAGATGTGCAGCTAAACATTTGAATTGGCTGCAAAACAATCGACGATCGCACAGCAGTTGTGCGATAGTTTAGTCAAAAGAGTGCGCCTTTCCCAGAATGCAGCCCTCTGGGAGGCGTTGACGTAGTTCATTCCGAAGGTCCCGCAGGCGCGGCGTCTGCAATGTTTGATCGTTATATACCAGGCGGGAAAGTAAATGACTCCACCAGAGATTGATTGTTACTCCTAGAAGAGTGCAAGCTGCAATTTTATTGCCGCCCCTCAGGGTATTTTCAAAAAGCTGTCCCTTAGTCGAATGTAATTTGGATTTTACTTGCTAAGTTTGCCTTCTGTTCTGTCTTTGTTTCGATGTTCTTTTTGTGATTGGTATAGTCATAATGAGATATAGGTATTGAAATGTAATATTTCATTCATGTTAAACATATAACTCAATCCGATTTACTCTTCAACAATTAATTTACAGTTTGTTATATCTATTAGACGTTTATAGCGGGCGCACTTTGACTCATCTGTCCCAGAACAGTTGTGTGTCTATTGTCGATTATTTCGCAGCCATTTCAACTGTTTAATTGCTCAACTAAAAATCGAGTAGTGTGCGCTCCTTCGTGTAAGCTCATGGGAATCGAAACAAGACTAGATTGCTGCGCAAAAGTATAGTCTTAGGTGTGCGCATGCTGTTAGTATATAATTTAGCAAGTATGCAATTTGCTCTGCATAGGGGTTCTTAGATTCATTAGCAGTGGCTCTGGGAAGCCGTAGCGGGATCGCGGCGTCGGGCCGAGGCGAGCACGTACAAGTGTGTTGCCATGACAACGCTGTGGATACCGGCCTTAATTGTGAGTGTAATGCTCATTCGTGATGGAGATTATGATGTACTAGTTGTTGCACCCGGATTTGTTGTTGGTTATTTCAGAAATTATTAGAGAAGTTAAAGATTACGTCAAATTAAAAATATCGTATTTTTTTTTATAATTTTCAATTTTAAGTAGTAAATACGAGGTTAAAAATATATGTGTTATTATCTAAACTAATATCATAAAGAGGAAACATTTGTATTTTTAGTTTTTGGTGTGTATTTAATTCAAGTAGAAACTACTGGGCCGATTTAAAGATTCTTTTACCATAAAAAAGGTAAATTATCTGTGAGTAACATAGGCTATTTTTTTAAATCTACGCGGACGCAGTCGCAAGCAACAGCAAGTTTAAATATAAATTAAGGAAATTTAAATTTAAATTTGGTTTAATTCATTTAACAAAGTTTAAGATTACGCGAAACAACAAAATTTTGCGCGGAACATTATCCTAAGTTTAATCTGAGGAAGTGGTTTCGTCTGTATAACTCAATTACTGCCGAATTCGGGGCAATGTCAATTAAGCCGTCCCTTGTAATGTTTCATAATATAAGTTAGCCTTTCAGGATAAGAAGTTTGCTCGTCGATTTGTATTCCCGCCTTCAAAGATGTTCCATTTTGTTGCTCGGTTCTCTATCAAATTTTATTTAAATTTACATATAACTATTTTACCATGAA